TCTGGAGAGCCAACCAATGAATATGTAAACACAGCAACCCGTCATGTTCTGCTTCGACAAGGTATGTTTGGCACAAAATTAATGATAAAAACAGGTTCTAACTTAATTTGTTATTTCTTGTTAGGTGTACTTGGTATCAAAGTGAAGATTATGCTGCCTTATGATCCTCATGGCAAGACAGGCCCTAAAAAACCTCTCCCAGATTCTGTGTCGATTGTTGAACCAAAAGATGAGGTGTTTCCTTCACAACCAACATCTGAAGTGAAAGCATCGAAGGATTTGCCACAACCAATACCACTTGCGGTGTAATTTATATACAAATGTTAAATAAACTTTATTCTAAATAGCTTTTGAGGATAATTTTTAAATGACATTCATTTGTAATAAAATTATTTTAAACTATCTTTGAAGAATAACTATGATTGAGGCAATTATCCACTGCTAAATATCGCTTTACCAGGAAATCCATGGAATGACCCATATTTGTGTGAAATAATGAAAAATTATTTAGTTAATATGCTTTTGATACTAATTGATTCTTTCCCGAATAAAGTGGAGGGGGTCAGTGTAAACGATCAAAGACGCCTTAAAAAATATGAAGATATATCTGGTGATACAAAATATTACGTATTATGTTATAACATATAAAGTGTCCCCTGTTTTTAATTCACAGAGTTTTAAAGTAAATACATTTATACACGTAAAAATTAAAATATATAAAATGATCTGTCTTCTATTGTAACTCACATAAAACAAATATTTATTCTTTTAGAATAGTTCTTTATATATCATGTTATTCCAAAGTGTTCTTTCATTACGTTTATGCTGTTACATTACTGTTTTACGTAAAATTGTGCTCAACAATATATTTGTCCCTTTTTTACATACAAACAAGTAACACGTTAGGGGTAAGCGTTATGCACTGAACTTATCGTTTAACGACATGCATATTTCTTATAAGATAATTATTCCAAAGAATGTGTTTAGATATTTCGCTGTATATTGTATACAAAAAGTACGTTTGAAAAATCTAGTGTTTTTCTTAACTTCCTTCTATTCTCATGAATCTACTAATAGTATTAAACTATTCCGATTTTAATTTTCTTATATTGTAAAAAAATTGAAAAAAAAGTGTTAACATTTTTTTGTGAAAAAGGGACACCTGTTGTAGATATTTATAACCAATGTCTTTTTACCAGGAACATTAATTTAAAGCTCGCATGATATCATGTACAACGTGCTAAAGTATTATTTCCGCTTCCAGTTGTGCCTTTTCCGTCTTCGACTCCTATCGTGTTCTCAGCGTCAAACATGGACGGCCGTTCTATCTCGAAAAAAAGAAAGGTTTATTATATTTTCATAATTAATGTTTAATGATTTATGAAGATATGATGTTCGTTATGATAATTAAAATTATGTAAGGAATATTTTGTCCAAAAACAAACATAAATGACGTATGAAGTGAATACATTCGCGGTGTTTTCGTTTGATACACGTAACCTACACCATGTGCCTCAAACATTTTTAATATTCCTTGGACATTGAAATAATTTATGTGCATTATCATATTAAACGAAATATGTTAGCCAATGTTCTACTTTACATTCGGTTAAATTACGTTTATATTAATAGACGCGTACTTGTTAATTTACAACCTTTTATAATCGTGTATATTAAATGTAATTACCTCTGTTTCTTAGTTTGTCGGAGACGGTGTCTTCAAAGCAGAATTAAACGAGTTTTTAACTCGTGAACTTTCGGAGGATGGCTACTCAGGGGTAGAGGTACGTGTTACTCCCCATCGAACAGAGATAATATTGCTGGCAACGCATACGCAGAGCGTTCTCGGGGAAAAAGGTCGGAGGATAAGAGAATTAACTTCTGTGGTTCAGAAGCGATTTAACTTTAAGGAAGCACAGAACATTGAGTTGTATGCGGAGAAAGTTGCGACTCGAGGTCTTTGCGCTATCGCGCAAGCTGAATCTCTGCGTTTCAAGTTAATTGGAGGTTTAGCTGTACGAAGGTTAGTTTAAACATTTATATAATTTATGTAAACTTCTCGTACATAAATTGTACTATTTCTATGCAATTACAGAGCCTGCTATGGAGTTCTCCGCTTCATTATGGAATCAGGAGCAAAGGGTTGCGAAGTGGTTGTTAGTGGCAAATTGCGTGGACAGAGAGCAAAGTCCATGAAATTTGTTGATGGTTTGATGATTCATTCTGGAGAGCCAACCAATGAATATGTAAACACAGCAACCCGTCATGTCCTACTTCGACAAGGTATGTTTGGCACAAAATTAATGATAAAAACAGGTTCTAACTTAATTTGTTATTTCTTGTTAGGTGTACTTGGTATCAAAGTGAAGATTATGCTGCCTTATGATCCTCATGGCAAGACAGGCCCTAAAAAACCTCTCCCAGATTCTGTGTCGATTGTTGAACCAAAAGATGAGGTGTTTCCTTCACAACCAACATCTGAAGTGAAAGCATCGAAGGATTTGCCACAACCAATACCACTTGCGGTGTAATTTATATACAAATGTTAAATAAACTTTATTCTAAATAGCTTTTGAGGATAATTTTTAAATGACATTCATTTGTAATAAAATTAGTTTAAACTATCTTTGAAGAATAACTATGACTGAGGCAATTATCCACTGCTAAATATCGCTTTACCAGGAAATCTATGGAATGACCCATATTTGTGTGAAATAATGAAAAATTATTTAGTTAATATGCTTTTGATACTAATTGATTCTTTCCCGAATAAAGTGGAGGGGGTCAGTGTAAACGATCAAAGACGCTTTAAAAAGATGCGAAAATATATCTAGTAATATGAAATATTACGTATTGTGTTATAACATATAAGGTGTCTATTTTTAATCCACTGAGTTTTAAAGTAGATGCATTTATACACGTAAAAATGAAAATGTTATATGAAATAAGTTACAAAGATAAGAATAACTGTTAGAAAGAAAGATTTAAAAAATTGAAACCACGAAATTTAACATTTTATATGTTACAACTTAATACACGTTAATGAATATTTCCATAGTTCTCTCCATATATTATAATGCAAATTTAATTATTGTTTAATAACTAAGTAACAGTATTGGAATTGTAAGAACTGAAAAATACAATACATTAGATTAAATTTTAAATATATTCACTGTATGGAACACATTGTACTATGCACTCATTTAAATTCTATATGATTTAAAAGTACATAATTATAATCTTATTCCAGATCGATATTAGAGATCATGAAATATTAAAAATTCAATTATTATAATTATTTATTTATATACTTATTTTGGTGTTTAGTAAATAAATCCTAAATCTAATTCCTTAATAAACTGTATGAAACAGTCCCCAAAAACCTGTTATCATTTATGATCAAAAAGGGGCACAAATATTAATTAAAATTTTTAAATATTTGGTATTTCTCATATTCATTTTGAATAACAGATCATAAGTTTGTTGTTTTTTACATTTGCACTCAATTTGTCATTCATTTATATGAAATTATTATTACATGGACCCTAGAACCCTAGGAAATTTGTTTTTATAATTTAATACACTTGTTTTAACTGAAAAATTACTGACGCACAGGAGCCATTTGTTGTGTAAGTGATAATAGACCTTCAATTATTCGTCGCACTATAACTGGCATTGTTGGTTTCCTTGAGACTGAACTTAGCCCATTTCTGATTTCATAGAAAACATTACGGGTGAAAGGATTTCTTTGTGACGCGAGACGGAATTTTAAGAATTGGAAATAAATAAATGGTGTCAATAAACCGGCACGTCCCCTGTAAGTAGTTGCTTTTATAAATTATTTGTATATCTAATTTCAGAAAATTAATAAATGTCAATACGTACGTAAATACAAGAAGAACTGTGAAAGGTAAGATGATTATCTCAGATAATGCACAAAGTCGCAAAATATTTCGTGATTGAAACTCCACCAGAGATATTAACAGGCGTGCTCCCCACCAGCTATTTTGACCTAAACACTTAATTAAAAAAGAACAAAATAACTACTAGTTACCACAATGATGACTATGCATCATAGATATGTTAGCATGATGACTCAGCATTGAAAAATAAAATCTTTTTACTTACATCAAGCAATGTAAGAGAACCACTAGCAAAATGCATCAATGCAAATAAAAATATAGGCGTTAACACCACTAATTAATAATTGAGGAAAAATAATTCTATTACATTTTGTGACAAATCTATCTAAGCCAAGAAGTGTCTTACTTTATATCTATTATCATATAAAAAGGATACATGTAACAGGAGCAGTATAGAGGAATATTAAAGAATAAAATAAATAATGGCAGGAATCTTCAATAAATAAATGTTCCAAAAATTGTCGATTCAATTGAACATGTGGCACTCTTTGGTGCAGGCGTAGTGCACTAGTTGCTGCATTACTCATTAATACTTTATAATAAATATTATAAGAATTACTGAAATATAAAATACAAAATTTAATTTTCTGATTCATATGATAAAATAATTTGTAACAACATACCCAAATATTGGAATGATATAACCAATAGTAAATATAAGAGTGAAAAGTCTTGTAACCCATAATCCAACTTTAATCTTATTATCAATGATGTGTTGCTTCAAAGCAAACCAGCCTTTCTCCATGTGTACTGAAGTATCTTCTGGTGTTGCACTTGTAGTATCTGCCATTCTGTATATTAAAGATAATTCAAACGTTACAATTTCTAGATTCTGTATCATTTATATGAAATCTTTCACATTTTCATTACATTTAAAATAATTAGTGAAAAACACATTCAAAAATATGGCAAAAATATGTAAATCGCGTTCTATTTTCTAAAGTGAAAGCAACTAATTTGAATAAAATGTTAAATATACAATACCTCATATATAGGTTAAAAATTTATTAGTTTTACTATTACTAGGAAAAGTTTTAAATCCTATAAGGTATAAACAAAAGTGAATGCTTTTAGGAAATATTTAACCCAATTTTTTTATTAGGTATTAAAATCCTATTTACAAACTATATTCTGTATCAATGAATTATTTTTCAATTGTAATCATTTAAATGGTACTTACTTTGTAATTAAACGCTTGTTCACTAAATAGAAAAATTTCAATTTCTACAAACACTTGCATAAACGAAAATTGCAATGAATACAATAACGTAGTGCATCTGCGTAAATTTGCTACCTACATATGTATAATTTCCTCAGATATCTTAATAATTACTTTGAGTTTCGAGTTAAAGATTTCTAACTTCTCTGATAGATGGTGTGGATGTGATTATCCGTTGCCTACCGCACTCTACTGGTATTTTATTGAATTATAAAACAATTGGTTTTTGAAGAAAAAAATACGCTATGTAAACGGTGTTTTTATTTTAACATTGTTTACATTTTAGAAATAATAACTTTTTACCGATGCATTCATTACGTACATTATCTGCAACGTAAATACATATTTATTAGTATATTATTATAGCATAAGTAATTATTTATCTTAATTTGTAATTAATTTTGATTTGTAACTACACGCATTGATATTATATGCACTTGTGTTTTAATAATTCAAAAAAATTATTGCGATCTATAGATATGTATTTTTAATCAATCTTTATTAATGAAGATGTATTATAGATTGAAGGATATTTTTGAGAATTAGAAGGTTATGAGATATTTTAATTAAAAATGAATACTTTACAACATATTATTCGTGGGAACGATGATAAAAAGAGCATTTGACTCTTATTTATTAGTAAATTCGATTTAAGTAAGGAAATATGATTTGTAAAACGCTTTTTAATCATTTTTTAATAAGCAATAACCGTAATATCATAATCGTAAATTGTGATATTACAGTTATCGTTTAAATTAAATAAATATTAAAGTAATATCTAATGAAGATATATTTCCTTTATAATTAATATAAAATTGAAACTAATGTTTTTATTGAAAAATCGAGTTATATGATGTAATATACATGCTCATGAATACATCTGAAAAACATTCTTCATTTCCACTTAATAAATGCAAAATATACACTTAAAGTATGAAAATAACGGTACAATTATTTTTAATCTACATACGGAAGTATAAAGGAGCGAAGCAAGAAAATACTCGACTTTTATTTTAACTCGATTCTTTGCTTTACCCGTAATCGTTACTTTAACACAAGATTTAATTTGTCTTCAAAATTGTAAAAAGAAAATAAATCTTTTTAAATTGCTAAAAGTAAATTTAGAAGAATGCTGCTCATCGGCACGATTTGTACTGTAGTTGCAAGTGGTTTCGTGTATCATAAGTTACGACAAAATCGTCCTTTGATAGTCGAAGAATTATTATGGAACGTAAAATATAATTTACTAGCTATCAAAGACCTCATAAATACATGGATAAAGAGCAAAAGAAATAAAAATGGTAAGTGTTAAATATGTTTGGTGCATTTGTAAAATTTTCTATAGGTTTAAAATTTAGGGTATGACGTGGAAGCAGTATATTAGGATTTATATCTTTATAAAAAGAAACTGCTGGCAATAAAAATTATAATAATCTGTTAACATTATGTAACTAAATGTATTTTTTAAGAAAAAAATAAAAAAACTATTAGTATATATTAATACAAAGTCGATAAATATTAAAATAATATGAAATGTATTAATGAAATGTTTATAATTAATAAGAAATTATGATATTTTGATGTATATATATTTCCTTTCCTTTCTCAAGATTGTTTACCTCAACCAGGAAGAGTTGCAATTGTAACAGGGGGGTCTAGGGGGATTGGAGTTGAAGTAGTAAAAATGTTTTTAGAACTTGATATGGAAGTGATAATTGGTAAGTTTAAAAACTAACTAAGTTCCATTTATTTATGAAATTTATTTCTTTCAATATTTTATATGAATTTTAAAATAAAAAATTTTTCAGCTTGTAGGACACCTTCTGCAGGTGAGAATGCTATTCTTCAAATTAGAGAATCTGGTGTCAAGAGTGGACAAGCAAAAGTATATAAACTTGATAATACTTCTTTGAAGTCTGTAAAGCAATTTGCTATGGAGATAAAAAGAGACTATAAACAGATTCATGTCTTAATTAATAATGGTAACTTAATTAATAAGTAAATAACATAAATATGTAAAAGGTTATTAAATCAAAATTAGTATAATTTTATTATTTGTAGCTGGTGTCATGTTTTGTCCTTATGAAGAAACAATAGATGGCTTTGAAAAACAGTGGTCTGTAAACTATTTATCACATTTTTTATTAACAGCGCTACTATTGCCATTATTGAAAATTGGTGGACATCCTGAACGATGTAGTAGAATTGTTAATGTTACTTCCTGTGCTCACCTCTTGGGGGAAGCTAATTTCAATGATGTTAACAACAAGTACTATATTATCATTCTATTTTGCACTTCATATTGGTTCTCTTTTACAATTCATAGATTCATTGATGTAAATTCTCTTCATTAATTAGGAAAAAGTTCCTTACTAAATTTGCATATGCACAAAGCAAATTGGCACAAGAAATATTTACAAAAGGATTACAACATCTTCTAGAAGAAAAGCAGTATTACATACAAGTTTATTCTGTACATCCTGGAGTAGTGTATACAGAACTTTTTATACATTCTTTTATTTGGAAATTGAAATCAATTACTCAATATCTTTTTAAGGTAAATGTATCCAAATGCAGTAAAACTTCGAAGCCCGTTTATAGTGACAAGTTTTTATATACTGTCAGTTATATGAACTCGTAACTGAGTCTCTATCATTTAAACTATGCTCAAGTGTAGTTTCAATTATACGTACACGTATTCTGAAGTCAACATATTCGTTTTGTTTAAATTGATATATAATTTAACACAATTTGGGTTAAAATTGTTGTTCAACTTCAGTTTGAACGTCAACTTCTATTATTGAAGCTCATAGCAGTAGCTCTTATTCAAATTCTACTTTGTCCCTCAAACGGTTCGGATAAACGAAGTTCTACTGTATTATAATAATAATTAGAATAATACATTTTTTTTTTAGACTCCCAGACAAGGCGCTACTCCAATTGTCTATGCAGCTGTAAATAAAGCAGTTGAGAATTGTGGTGGTATATATATAGATAACTGTTGTCGCAGCGAAGGTCATCCAGATGCTTTGAATTTAACTATACAAAAAAAATTATTTGAATTATCTCTTCAGCAAGTACAACTAAATAATTTTTTTCAGTATGTATAGTGAAAATTTAAATTATAGATACTAATCTTATTCACTTTGTACTTAAATGAATTTTATAGTATGAAGTAAATAGTAAAGTTACAATTATACATATATAAATATATATATAACTTAATAGTATAATAATCATATTCATTTGGAAGGAATAACCTTTTAAATGAATGTACACATATTTCTGATTTATTTATTTATGTAGAACATTATTAAGTGAAATTTTGAAACTTTTACAACAAATTTATATGGCAGGAGAGCGTTGCAAATCTTGCCAATTAAGAATAATATGGAGTATACTTTCTATAACATAATTCATTCTGATACCCAATTGCAATATATTTTAATTTACATTATGTGTATATTAGATATAAAATGTGAACACATTTCGTATAAAATAGTTTTATAAATAAAAAATGTTATAAAACGAAACAAAATCGTTTGTCATTTGTTATAGTACCTTTTAAGTCTATTATCGATCGGTTTGTATAACATAGAATATATATTATCTCTATATTTTAGACTACGTTTCAAACAATACACAGGTTCAATATTTTTGTTATAAGACATCTTCTTGTCGAGTTTTGTTTAATCAAATTAAAAATCAGGCTTATTATAATTATCTTTTATCTGTACACAAACTGATATGTTCTTATCAGTATAATTTTATTGTAAATTTTTATGCATGTTTTATATTATTTAAAACTATAAATATTATTGCACAGTAGTTGCGAGTAGACAGTAATTTGAAAATCTACTTACAAACTTTATGCTGTTAAAACAACATAATTATATAAAAATCACAACAAATTTAAGTAATACAATATACAATGTCATTATATATTTGAAACAAGTTAAATACACTAAATAAAACTTTTTGAAAAATTACATGAAATGTTTTATTATTTCCCTACGCATTGTAATCTAATATTAATACAAACTATATGATGTGCAGCTATCAATACAAATACAGATAAACAATTTCAAATATGTTCGTGAAGAATATCCATACATGATTTTATTTTATAAGTATTCAACTTTTAAATTGTGTGAAATATAGAAAATAAATACATAATGTACATATATTTAATTTTCTTAATGAAAACTTATAAAAAGTGGAGGTGACCCATTATGTAATAATGTAATCATAAAAAACATGAGATGGTATAAGTTATTATTCATTTTTTGTATTTAAAATATAAAAAGGTATAAAGACTAGAGTGATGTGCTAAAAAATTGTGTTATTGATATAATAGTACGAACAACAAATGTCTTATTTATAACATAAATACTAATAAAAATCTATAAAATACAACGTCGAACAATGCATAGACGGGACAAGCATTAATTATCCGCCAGAATTATAAATAAAATCTTAAAAGATACAACAAAACTTTGGTTGCGTAAATGCTGCTAACATAATCATAGTCACACTTATTATAATAAGCAATGATCAAGTAAAAAATTATTCATAATAATTTTTACTATTTATAATAAATAGTACATATATGGAACTTTGCTTTCATTTTAAGTTTCGCTTGACTTTTAAAGCAGCAAACATTTTTGTGTATACTGCGGATTTGGAAAAATCTTGGACGATATTAGGCTTACATTTTTTAGTAGAAATCTTATATTTGTAATGACTTCATATTCAGTCACCAAATATGAAATACTTATTTGTACTTTCTGACATAATAAGAATATTATAGAACATATAATAAACTTCCATTTATGGGCACAACATTAAATGTCAAAAAACAGGCGTCCAACTTATTTATTATTCAAATAATGCAATCATAAAATTATAACAAAAAGACTTTAGTTAATATCTATAAGAACACATATGAGAACAAATATTTATCAACATATTTAAACTTCGTTTTAATCTTAAATATTATATATTTTTTGCAACAAAATTGTCAATATAATCTGCATGATATAACACTAGATGCTAACATATAATATCAAAGATGTTCTAATATTAGAATTTTTTTTATTTAGTGGCAGAAGATTGACTAATATTGCATTCAATCCCTGTACTCTATAAAAATTATATGATAGTGTTCTACGTACATATTTAGCAACTGAAATTATGCATTTTCTGAATGACTTAATAATAGATATAAAAGCTAGTTAAGAAAGTCGACTACAACCACAGTTACTTGTATCACCAATTGATGTTGTTTTTCCATTTATAGAAGTTGCATTTGTTTCATATCTAGGTAGTTCTTTACTGCGTGCTTGCTACAATAATATATCAATTTGATTACAGTTAAATCTTCAAATAAAAATTATTTATGAAAGAGATTTGTCATCTTATTACCTCCATAAGTTCAGCTGCTATTTCCATGAATAGCCGTTCTACATTCTCTGCTTCTTTAGCAGAAGTTTCTAAAAAGTACATCCCATGTCTTTGTGCAAAATCTTCTCCTACATGTGTTGGTATTTCTCTGTCTTCTCGATCAATTTTATTACCTAAAGAAATAATTAAATATATATAATATACAGAGTCTGGCTAAATAATGTGTAAAAATAGACACAATATGATTCCTTGTGGATGAAAATATAGAATAAAGCTTTTTGATTTTCTGTTTAGATTTCAAGAAAGTCGAGATTGAAAATTTATCAATATAATATACTTATTATGATTACTTAAACATGGGTAATTCTGGACTAGACAAGACTAAATAATTGACAAGAAGTTACTCTATATGTGAAAATAAGTCAGAAATGTAGAACAAAACTCTTTTAAAAATGCTTTGTTTCAGAGAAAAATAAGTTTGAAAATTTATCATATATGTGTGCTAGACTGATTCTTAACTAAACATGTTCAAACTCTATTTTCTTCAGAATAAAGCCTTAAACAGAGAAATTTGATGAAAAATAACATATATTATTTACCTACTAATATCCTAAGAACTTTATTACTTGCATATTCTTCAATTTCTCTTAACCAATCTGGTAAACAATCAAATGTAGGTTGACAGGAAATATCATAAACCAAAATCAAAGCATGAGCTGACCTATAATAACTTTGTGTTATTGAACGAAACCTTTCTTGACCGGCAGTATCCCAGATTTGAAGCTAAAAGAAGAACAATATTAAGTATGCACAGCACAAAATTATTTTGAAAAAGTATATCTGTGTATATTGGATGAATCATAATGCATTACATCACATGCATACCTTAACTTTCTCATTTTCTACTTCTACAGTCTTAATCATAAAATCAACACCTATTGTTGCACCCTGGCCTGGGGGAAATAATCCCTATAAGACAAATGTATATATTAATAAATAAGAATGCATATTTAGAGTATTATTTTCTAACTGGACCATCCATATAAGGCATTATCATATCACAAAAACAGATGGAACAGCTTACATAGAAAGTATGTAAATTAATCGAATTTATTTATTATGACAAATTTTTTTATGCTTTTGTTAATAACTAATATGATTTAATTAATCATATAAATGTGTATGCATATATACCTGGGTAAATCTGCGCACGAGGCAAGTCTTGCCGACACCCGCATTTCCTACGAGCACAACTTTAAAGAGAAATTTGTAATCCTCCATCACATTCGTACCGTATTACGGTCAGAAACCCTATGCAAAACTAACGAAGCATCTGCAAGCACGACACGTACAATTTCCGCAAGCGTTCACTGTAACGATGGACCGAAATTTTATAATGTACTTCTTTTTAATGAAATTCACTTTTTTTCATTAACTTTAATGAAAACTGTTCGTGACACTATTCGGTATTTTCTATTTTTACGATTTACCGAATACACAATGTTTCATTTTGATAAAATAAACACAGAAACAAGTATTTAACAGAAATCGTGACTAACTTTCCAGACTTTCTGCCATTCTGTCAAAATGACGTTTTCTCTCGTCCCCGCCATTCAATTATGACGTTATCATGATTTAGAAAAAATACAATTTTGAAGTTGCCTATTGTACATACATATATATGTATAAACTTCAAAATTCCCTATCATTTCTTATTTTATTCTTAAATAATTTCACTCCATTTCGTTTTTTGTATGTTATAATTGTATAGATAATATTTAAATAATTGTAAAATTAAAAATAATAATTAATAATAGCTATTTGCAATATCATAGGTAATAATGTTATAGATAATATATTTATGAAATAAAAAAATTATTTTACTTATCTATTACAATTAAATAATTAACAGTTAAATTCTAGAAAACATTTAAAGTATTTCTAATAATTCATTAAATAAATTTCAATAGACTTCGTAATTTCATTTTGTCGTTTTGTCTCAATATAAATTACTCATAAGAATTGTCTCAATGAAAACGCATCTATATGCTTCCATTTTGCACACTAGCGACACGTGCGGAAAATTGTGAACTTCTAGTATACTAAGCAAACTGGTTGTATTTTGCAACGGAATATGTGATTGGTTCTTTACAGAAATTCAACCGACAGAGTAAGAAATTTATCCAATCACGATGAGCGTTATATATTTGTAATCCCGTTAGAAGGTACAAAGGAATGGTAGCCATTTTACGTGGATATCCCGTTTGGCGTAGCAGTAGTGTCCGCGTGATTATCGCGAAAAGTCAAAATAATCGTGTTTCGGGATATTTCAGTTTTTTCGAAATGCGTTAAAAAGGTAAATGTTAACCAGTGTCGCTTATAGTGTTCTCGGTAAAACTCATTATAGATCGTGAAGTTATAGTATCAATGTCGTTCAAGCTTGTTCGAGTCAGGCGTTAAGGAAATCCAGATGCGTGTTAGTTATTCGTGTACACTTAGGTATTTGTGCTGATCTTCTAGAACGTGCATGGATATTGCAATAGTAGTGTTAAAAAAAACTTTTGGAAAGTGCATAATTACTAAAACAGTGAAAAAATCGATATGTGTATATGACGTCTATCAATCTTTTGTAAAAAGATTTCAGATAATATTACATAAATAGAGATCATAACGTATTAATTCTTGTTCAGGTTAATGCTTTAAGATTGATTATATTAATTTGTTTAATACAAGCTGAATTTTAAGACATTGTATACATGTCCAATTTTTCTGTCTTATATATATCGCAATTCAGTAAAAATGGAGTGGTCTAACCATAAAAAGTCAAGAATTAATATCAAATAAAGATTTTGTTGTGCACTACATTCTTATTTATATAACAAATAATTTTGATTAGAATATTCCATATTTTTTTGTATATTAAAATTTTCCAATTTTATTGTAATCTCACAAATATGTAACAAACAATAATTATTTAACTGTCCATTGAATTATAATGCTAATAATTTGTTATTACTTTCAAAAGTTGTAGAATGCGTACATGTGAATTTGTAACCATTCAATGTATGGATATATTAATGTTTCTATAATTTTGTAGTTTTTATATTTAGTTCTTTTTATAAAATATTTTTTAAATTTAGCAAACTTTTGTATGATATATTGCACATTATGAATATTTTAAAACAATTATTAAAGTTGCATAATAAAGAATTAATAAATTCTTGTCACTAAATATGTTATTTTAATAAAAGATCAATAAGAGTTATGTGTTTATGTTATTGCCTTCATATATTAAAAAATATGTTGTTGTTCCTAATACTTGTTTCTTTGTATTTCACAGTATAATTACCACTGTCAATTTGACCAAGATTTGTTGCATTTATCAACTGGCAACACAACATCATGACATCAACAAAGTCTAAGGAAATAGCGGATGAGTATATCTCATCGCTGTCTGATTTGACTATTAACAGTAAACCATTAATTAATATGCTTACTATGTTGGCTGAAGATAACATAGAACATGCACCAGCAATTGTACAAGCTGTTGAGAATCATCTACAAAAGGTTATTTATCTCTTATAATATATTAGTTCAAATAGTATATAAGTTGTTTTGTATATTATAAAATATATTATGTTTACATTGTTACATGTTTATTTAATATTATTTTTTTACTATCTATAAGAGATTGGTGTTTTGGAAATTTACATGTCTCATTTTTTTAAATATTTATGAATTATATATTATAAGTGTTAAAACTAGCAAAGCTGTATTTCATACCGTTGTTTATTTAAAATATAACAAAAGTAAATAAAACAATTAAAGATAAATGAAATTTGTATAATCACCTTTTCTTCTTTGTTTTTCAATTGTATTTATGTCACCTTTGTGTATATATTATGGTGTGAAATAATAGCTTAAGTTTATTGATATAAATTTAGATACATATACATTATATTATGTCCTTTTAGGTGAGAAGTGATATCAAATTACCTGTCCTTTACTTGATTGATTCGATTGTGAAGAATGTTAATGGAGCATATTTAAATCTCTTCACTCAAAATATTGTAAATACATTTTGTGGAGTGTTTGAAAAGGTATGTTTACTAACTACTATTTGAAAAATGCATATTATCTAAAAATATATATTAATCATTTCTATTTTTTTTGTTTAAAATATGTATAGTCTTGTTTTATTTTAAAGTAATTTGCTTGGTCTTATACTATATTTATATTTGAAAAAAAACAAGTGTATTGCAATTGTAAGACTTACATAGATCTATAAGATAATCATTTAGTCAATATCAGGTCATTGTACTTTGTGTATCTATACTGTAAAGCTTAAAATTTTCTAAAGACAGGAGAAACATAAAACTCAGTATTATTTGTATAAATAATTAGGTGGATGAAAATACAAGAGCCAGCATGTGGAAATTGAGGCAAACATGGAATGATGTATTTCCAGCAAAGAAATTATTTTCTTTGGATGTACGAGTGCAAAGTATTGATCCTGCTTGGCCAATCACTGCCTCTCCTACTAGTGTTTCTTCTGGATCTATCCATGTTAATCCTCGTTTTTTTTCAATGGTTAGTTTAATAAACTTATTTGCTTGAAATATATGTATAAATAACGAATATGTGATTAGATAATATATTTTCATACTTGAAATGTAATTCATACAATTTTATTTCTAGCCCCAACAATCAGCAACATCTATTGTCTCACAACCAATTGTAGCACCTGTTAAGCTTCCACCAGGTGATCCTGTGACACCAACGGAAGCAGCAATGCGAGAGCAATTATTAAAGAAACAGCGAGAACTGATAGAACTACAGAAAAAAAAGATTGAATTAGAATTACTTCAAGCTAAAGCTAATTTAGAACAACAACAGCGGCAACTTGATAAACAAGCTGGAAATTTAAAAGCTGAACTGGTGAGTTAAAAAATAATCTTTTTTTAACTGCATTTTTTAATTTTAACCAAACTTTATTATTTTTTCTTTGAATAGGTTGCAGTTACAACACATATTACGCCAAGCACAGAAACTGTCACGCAAGGGAAACCTGTTGCAACCACTGTGCCAAGTCAAGCATCAAAGCAAGTAGCAAAACAGGTAGTTATTTAAATTATACATTTTCATCATTGTGCCACAAAATGCTATGAAGCAAAATTATTGCGTTATGTATTATTTTTTAACAGTAGTTTTCCTATTTGAAGTTTCCAGCAGCAGCCGCTTCGCTTCTGAAAAATGCAGGAACGAACAATGGCCCACGAATTGCACCAGCTAGTAGTATAGCAGTAGCATCAGCTAAACCGGTATCTCGTGATCCAAGACTAAAAACTACCTCGGCTCAAGATGTACCAGTTTCAAGCGTGGATCCTCGTCAGCGAATAAGTACACCAACTCAGAAGGATTCGCGGGGTGAAGGCCAAGCGCAGTTAGCGGCACATACAAACACTGTACTTTCAGATCAATTAAAACAGCAGTTACTTTCGAAACAGGCTGTGACTAGCACTATCAACAAGTCTCCGACAAATCTTGCCGGCTCCGATACTGCGACGTTAAACGCTAGTAATAACAATAATGCTAATACGAACCTCAACAATAATAATAACAATAAAAATTTCAGTGGTAACGCAAATAAAGATGCTGTGTCGCATCGAACAAGTCAAAAGAAAGACCCTCGATTGTCTAGTAATAGTAGTGGTAACCTAAACAGTAATAATTCCAAAGGTTCTCAAAGTTTATCTATGGGTAGCAATAGTTCTTTATCTGCGAGTAATAGAGGAGGTGGAAATAACGATTCCAAGTCGAAAGACTCGAAGAGTTCGAATTCTCGAACTTCTTCATCTTCGGCAATCGACAAGTCTGCTTCCTCAAAATCCTCGCATAGAAAACTAGGTAACAAATCGCGATCTAAACAACCTCAAACATCTCCGTGTAAAATACCGAAAGTCGACAGAGATGCCAGTCCTGTTAGGTCCAAATCTCGTGAAAAAGATAGTGGAGACAGTTCACCATCCTCGCGTACCTCTCCCCAATCCTTCCAAAACTCTAAAAATCGAAAAAAGAATACAAAATCGAGAAAACGCAGTCCAAGCCCTCCATATAGAATTCCTAGGCGCAATGATGCAAAATCCAATTTAAGTCTAAGCAATTCTAGTGGTGTTACTGAGGAGGAGCAATCTGGTTCATTGATAGTCTCTCCTCCTCATCCACCTACATTTAAAGAAATCAGACCGAATGCTAGACAAAGAAATTACGTAAGACGTAATAAGGATGGCAGTCTTAGTCCCGAGCGCTCTCCAGCAAATGCTGGAAACGTTCAAACTGCTGTGGAACCAACTTTGGAATCATCCAGCAAAGATGAAGACTTGAGAGCGACACTACCTCTTCCAGGTGCAGCCGCTTCTGTATTAGAAAAGAGTGAGTTAATATTTTACGTTTTTCAACATAAATATAAATTATTTATAAACACACATGCATCATATACTTTGCATTATTTAATGGTGAGTTAATTTTTTATGATATGTGGTTATAATGATGTCCCTAGCTCTAAAGATTTGCGTCAGAACAATTTCAGCTGTAATATTACTTTAAATCTTCAAAGGCGAAACATTAAAATATATT